GACGAGTGGTCAATGCGGTTAGTTGGGCAGGTCATGGGAGGCGGGGGCTAGTTGCGAGCGGCCAATTGCCAAGAACTCATCCGAAGAACCATTGCTTGGGTAGCTTGGGTCGAACTTGATGGTATTTGCAAAATGGGCATATTTGTGCGCAACACAATTCCCGCCCCAAGAGCCCTGCAACAGCGAGGCAGGAGATACACTCCATACCTTCGCCCAGAGTGCGCTCACCTAAGCTGCCCCGGCCTGCTCCTGGTGATGCTCCTGGTTTGGTAGTCCTGGAATCCCCAAAATGATTGCCACAACAATCAAAAGTACTATATAGTGCCCCAACTACTCTTCTAAAATCTTCTGAGGCCCATCATCACGCTCTTCATCGCCTCTGCCTTCTGCCCTGCCATTTGGATAAAGGCTAAAATTAACCTCCTGCCGCTACCCAAAGGCTCCACCAAGGGGAACTGTGGCCCAAAACTCCTGAAACATGGCGCCCAAACGCCGGTGTTTTCTCGCTACAACCAAGGGTCTAGCGATGGCCTCCATCCTAATAGCGATGGCCTCCAACCTAGAAGCGATGGCCTCCAATCTAGAAGCGATGGGGTAAGAATTTCGATGAACGACCCTTCAAGACACCGATGCTGCAACTTTTCACATTTTCAATACGCGCCCAGATACAAGGCTGCAAGCAACGAGGCACTCTGGTTTGCAGTGCCCAAGGCAAACGTCATTTACTTTTCTATAGAGACATTGCGCCTCCTTTATTTTGGGTCCTTCTTGCGGGGTCGGGTATGTTCCACCTGATAGGCCCTGTCACGTAGAACCAACACTACCAGGATATCAACCTTCTCTTCTCTCCCATTTGTTGCCTCTTCTACTCCTCAAATCCTTCAGTTGCTGGTAGGAAACACCACTACGCCACTACGAAACAACCAAAGTCATCAGGCCACTATCACAGCAGGGCCACCGGGCTCGATCCGAATCCTGAGCAGCTCCAAACATCAACTGCAACAACTCTTGAAGCATCGACATTTCGGATTGGGAGTCATTTTTTTCCTTTCGCGGCCTGTTTTAGTTTGCTTCGAGGTGACCTACAATCACATCTTCATGGAAATGTGGGAAGATGAGGATTGGCTTTGGGCCGAGCTGCAGAAGAACAAGGCCATGGCGCCCAAGGCGTTGACGTCCATGGGCTATGGTGGAAAAAACTCCATGTACATGCGGAAAAGCCTGCAATTTGGCTCTGAAAAGGACAGTTTTCTCGTGCAATAGTTTTGGGTCTGTTTTTCTTTTTGTTGACGGTTTGTTGCTTCTGTTGCTTTGTGTTTTTGCAATGTCGGTGTCAAAATGAGCCTTTGCTGCTTTTGTCCCTGTTTTTTTTCTGTTGATTGGTTTCACGGGTCGTTTGCTCTGCTTTGTTTTGTGTTTTTTTTCGCTTGCGCTCCTCTATTTCAACCTTTTTCGTTTGCCCTTTTGGTGCTTTTGCACCGTATTCAGTTTGCTTTGCTGATTCAAGCATCAACAAGTCCGCGTTGGTTCTTTCCTGCCAGGCAAGAGTCTGTGGCCGAATCTGAAGGGTTGCCGTTGGAGTTCTACACCTCATACAATGCCAAGTGGTGGAAGCCATGGCTCTATTTTGACAACACCTCCTCGGTACCTGGCGTTTTTGCTTTACAGAATTCTTGAGTTGACTTGGCTACGAATGCAGCTACCGAGAGGGTAAATTTGGTGTCAAGCATGACCGCATCCATGGAAAAGTAGTTGTGATATATTTTTTTGCGGTTGCAAGACAATGAATCAAAGTGTGATGGGGGAACTGTGTTGCAAATGGTGGCTATGGAGCGTGATAGAACGAGATGAAGAAGGGCCCGAATACGCAGAAAGACAGTTCTGCGAGAAACCAGTGTTCAGTAAGAATGCAAGTTAGACTCGAGGTGAATGAGCTAAATTGCTGCACAAACTAGGTAGTATGGGTGGGTCTCGGTGTACATACTGCATATTCTGCAGCGTTTCTACTTTCCTCACCGCCGCCAAGGTCAATGCGACCAGGTTCCTCAAGAAGTGCAGCGAGACAACACTCTTCTCGGACGGCCCGATGCGGAACTACCTGGCGCAAACGGGTGATAGTGATGGAGTACAGATGATTGATGGTGCAGTGCCGGGGCTCAAGCCAAGATAGATACGAAGATAGGGCGCAGCAGCGCAGCAAACATGCTTTGAGGGGGGTGCGAAGGGTTGCGAATATGTTCAAGCTTCTCCCGAGCTCCACGGACTGCGTTGACCACATTCTTGATCATATTTTATGAACATCAAAGGTGGAGCGCCAGATGCAAGAGATGTTTCCGGGTGATGTTCTCGACAGGCTTGTTCAGTTCTTGATCCTTTCCTTCAGGTGACGGCCATGAAAGCATGTTTTTTGGTTGCGTAAACGGCCAAGATTGTCTAGCATGCCAAAATGCAGGTAGCAACATTGTAGGTTTCAGATTGTTTGGCTGTAACATCTGGAGCCGAACAGGATGAAAGGAATAGTTTTTCAAGATATGTCGATTTGACGTAGTCATGTAGGAGACAATATGAAGCCGCAAGTCTTGAACATGAAGCCAAACCGACTCATCTTGGCAACTTGGCCGCCTTTGGCCCAGGTTGTGGGTTCATGTCCTGATGAGTACTTTTGGAGGGCGCCAAGTTGTCGTAACAAGACCTTCAAGTGCGTGATGTTCTTTACCAGCGGTGCTGGTTGGAACCTTGAGCTGGTCATGCACCAAGCAACTGCTTGGAACATGCCGATTGCTGTGGCAATTACCAACACATGGGCGGATTTTGTTGCAATGCCAGTGGCACACCAGAGCCTTTTCTATTGGTGGGAGCCAGATGCAACTTTCCTGGAGATGGCACCAGTTGAGGTGATTTTCCCACCGCATGACAGTATTGGCCATGCCAATGGAGATTTCAAAACAGCTAAGAGGACAATCAAACTCTCCAAAGGCGTCAGCAAAGACTTGTCGTCACTCTCTCCCAGAGTGGAGAATTTTCTGGTGAACATGGAAATCAGCGCGACCATGATCCAAGCAATCCTGATGGACCAGAAGAACACAGGAATTCTTAGTGGAGCACGGTTGTGTTGTTTGCTTTTTGATTTGATGCTTGCGGAGTCCTAATCTGACTCGTCTTTTTTGGGTTCCTGAAGTTCAGCGTTCGCCTTCTCGATCAGGAGATTCCTGGGACGATGTCACCTGCCGATGGCTCCAGAGCAACAAAGCCACGTGGGAATCATGGTTACCAGATGATACCACTTGTTTTGCGGGCTTTGGGCTCGTTGACATCGAGTCTGGAGAGCTTGCAATGGATAGAACTGTTCGCGAGGGCAAAAGGTGCGGGCTCGGATGGACACATCGAACGCCATACTCCAACTGTTTTCCCGAATGCGTAGCGAAGGGTTCTCGTTTAACTCTGGGGGTCTGGGGGTAGAGTCTTGTTCGCGATCCGTTGCTTCTATGTTCGCAACCGTCCGCAACCGTTCGCAGTAGGTCGCTAAGGCGCTGCCATTGGGGGAAGCTTTTGCAAGTGACTATGCATGGATGTGTCACGTGTTAGTTTGCGACGCGAGTCCATTGTGATTTGCGTGAAAAGGACATGTCGCGCAAGAAGCGTGATGCATTTCACTGCACAGGCGCAGCGTTTTGTGAGATCCGCAGTTTGCTACGCAGTTCCATTGGGATTAGCGTTTGGAGAGTCGTGTTTTTGGGGTGTTGGATGTGGCCGTGCCATTGGGATTTGCGTTTCAGGGTGTGGCATCGAAGCTCTGTTTTCGTGACAAGTCTCAGCTGAAATGCCTATTTTGGACCCTGGGAGTGTGCTCAGAACGGGTCGAAATCATTCCAAACATGTGTGGTGTGGTGCAAATTTTGTTGAAGCTCACATGAGATGACATTGTTACTTTTCGTGGCAGGCGCAGGACTTTGTGCGGGTTTTGAGGTGTGGAAGTGGGATTTTCGTGGCAGGCGCAAGGAACCGTGAGGTTGCGATGTGTGACGGAGGTGACATTTCGTGGCAGGCACAGTACTTTGTGCGCGTTAGACGTGTGGACGCGGAAAGATTCGTGGCAGGCGCAGGGAATCGGGAGGTTGTGAGTTGTGGTAGAGGTGAATGTCGCTGTCGCATTGGGATTGGCGTGTGAGCGGGTGTCGTTTGGAGGGGCTGGACTCGCGAAACTGCTTGGCAGGGCTGCGTGATGTGTGTGCTCCGATGGGTGTTTCCGCTGGACTTTTGGAGGAAGTCTCGTGCGAAACGTTCGTTTTGCAGACTTTGACATGTGAGTTTTTGAGGAAGTCTCGTACGAAACGCTCGTTTTGGGGACTTGACATGTGACTTTTGGAGGAAGTCTCGTACGAAACGCTCGTTTTGGAGACTTGACGTGTGACTTTTGGAGGAAGTCTCGTAAGAAACGCTCGTTTTTGAGACTTGACGCGTGACTTTTGGAGGAAGTCTCGTACGAAACGCTCGTCTTGCAGCCTCGCAGCGTGACTTTTGGAGGAAGTCTCGTACGAAGAGTGTGCCCTACAGGAGTGTCCGACAAGAGCGTCCTACAAGAGTGTCCCACAAGAGTCTCCTACAAGAGTATCCCACAAGAGATTCCTACATGAGTGTCCCACAAGAGTGTCCCACAAGAGTCTCCTACAAGAGTGTCCCACAAGAGTGTCCCACAAGAGTGTCCCACAAGAGTGTCCCACAAGAGTGTCCTGCAAGAGTGTCCCACAAGAGTGTCCCAAATGAGTGTCCCACAGGAGTGTCCCACAGGAGTGTCCCACAAGAGTGTC